CACAACCGTGTCGTCAATGACTTCTGCCTCTACAGGACGGTGGGCAGGGGGCTCTGGGGGGGTTTGGGGGTCCTGGGGGAGGTGTGGGGACCCCCCAGGTGTGTCCTCACCTGTCCCCCCCCATCCCCTGGCACAGGTGAAGTTCATGAAGAGCAAGCCGGGCGCGGCCATGGTGGAGATGGCCGATGGCTACGCCGTGGACAGGGCCATCACCCACCTCAACAACAACTTCATGTTCGGCCAGAAACTCAACGTCTGGTGGGTCTGGGGGCTCCGGGGGAAGAATCCCAGCATTGGGGGTCCAGGGGTGTCCCCCTGCACCGGGATGGGACTGGGAGAGCTTTTCCCCTCATGTTTTCCGCCCTTTTCCCCTCATGTTTCTCTCTCTTTTTTCTCTTGTTTTTTCTACCCTTTTCCTCACTTTTCCCCCTCGCATTTCCTGCCCTTTTCCCTCAGTTTTTTTCCCTCATATTTTTCACCCTTTTCCCCTTCCATCTCCTGCCCTTTTTCCCTGCCTTTTCCCCTCACGTTTCCCGCCCTTTTTTCTCTCCGTTTTCCCATCCTTTTCCCCTCATATCTTTCACTCTTTTCTTCTCATGTTTTTCTCCCTTTTTCCCCTCACATTTCTGGCCATTTTTCTCTCCTTTTTCCTGCCCTTTTCCCCTCACATTTCCCACCCTTTTTCCCTCACATTTCCCACCCTTTTCCCCTCACATTTCCCACCCTTTTCCCCTCACGTTTCCCGCCATTTTCCCTTCACATTTCCCACCATTTTCCCCTCCCTTTCCCCCCCTTTTTCCCCCCCTTTTCCCCCCCCTTTTCCCCCCCCTTTTCCCCCCCTTTCCCCCCCTTCCCCCCCTTGTGTTGAAGCACCACAGCCTCATCCCGGAGCCATTTTAGGGGCTGGGGGGTGTGTCGGGGTCACCCTTGAGGGGCTCCCACAATTTTGGTTTTTTTTTTTTTGTGGTGATTCCTCATTTTTTGGGGCTCCCCTGACCCCGTTTCCCCCGCAGCGTGTCGAAGCAGCACGCCATCATGCCGGGGCAGTCCTACGGGCTGGAGGACGGCTCGTGCAGCTACAAGGACTTCAGCGGCTCGCGGAACAACCGCTTCTCCACGCCCGAGCAGGCGGCCAAGAACCGCATCCAGCACCCGTCCAACGTGCTGCACTTCTTCAACGCGCCCCTCGACGTCACCGAGGAGAACTTCTATGAGGTGAGACCCCGCCTAGGCCTCCTCTCCACCCTCCTCTTCACCCTCCTCTTCACCCTCCTCTTCACCCTCCTCTTCACCCTCCTCTTCAACCTCCTCTTCACCCTCCTCTTCACCCTTCTCTTCCTCCTCTGTGCCCGTCTCAGGGCTTCTTTCACCTCCTCTTCCTTCTCTTTTTAGCTCTTTTTTCTCCTCCTATTCCTCTTCTCTTTATCCTTTCTCCTCCTTCTCTTTGCCTGTGTCTGGTTTTCTTCTTTTTCTTGTTTTTCCTCCTTCTCTTTTGCCTTCTCTTCCTCCTTCTCTTCTTTTTTCTCTTTGTCTGTCTCTGGGTTTTTTTCCTTCTCTTTCCTTCTCTTTTTCATTTTCTTATCCTTCTCTTCCTTCTCCTTGTCCTTGTCTTCATCTGTCTCTTCTTCTTCCCCTTCCATTTCTTTCTCATTTCCTCCTCCATGTCGTCCTTCTGCTCCTTCCTCTTTTCCTCCTTTTCTTCCTCCTCTTCCTCTTTGTTTCTTTTCTTCTTCTCCATCCATTTTTCTTCTCTTCCTTTGCTCCTTCTGTTTTCCTCCTCCTCCTGCTCCTCCTGCTCCTCCTCCTCCTCTTTTCTCACCCTCCCAATCCCCCTGACTCCCTTTTTGCCCCCCCAGATCTGTGATGAGTTGGGGGTCAAACGTCCCTCCTCGGTCAAGGTGTTCTCAGGCAAGAGTAAGTTTTTTGAGGGGGAAATCTCCCCTTCCTTGGGGGAATCCCCCTTTCCTGTGGGGTCTCCCCTTCCTTGGGGGGGTCTCCCTTTTCCCATGGGGTCTCCCCTTCCTTGGGGGATCTTCCCTTTCCCATGGGGTCTTTCCTTTTCCGTGGGGTCTCCCCTTCCCCAGGGGGGTCTCCCCTTCCTTGGGGGGTCTCCCCTTCCCCAGGGGGCTCTCCCTTTTCCCGTGGGGTCTCCCCTTCCTTGGGGGGTCTCCCCTTTCCTGTGGGGTCTCCCCTTTTCCAGGGGGGGTCTCCCCTTTCCCGTGGGGTCTCCCCTTCCCCAGGGGGGGATCTCCCCTTCCCCGTGGGGTCTCCCCTTCCCCGTGGGGTCTCCCCTTTCCCATGGGGTCTCCCCTTTCCTGTGGGCTCTCCCCTTCCTTGGGGGGTCTCCCCTTCCCCGTGGGGTCTCCCCTTTCCCAGAGGGTCTTCCCTTTCCCGTGGGCTCTCCCCTCCCCGTGGGGGGCTCTCCCCTCCCCATGGGGGGGCTCTCCCCTTTTCCAGGGGGTCTCCCCTTCCCTGTGGGGTCTCCCCTCCCCGTGGGGTTCCCGTCTGATCGGGGTGTGCCCCCCGTGTGCCCCCCAGGCGAGCGCAGCTCCTCGGGGCTGCTCGAGTGGGACTCCAAGAGCGACGCGCTGGAGACCCTCGGCTTCCTCAACCACTTCCAGATGAAGAACCCCAGTAAGTGCCGCTCAGGGTGGGTGTGGGGGGGTCCTGAGGGGTCCCCGAGGCCCCCCTGACCCCCCCCCCTGTGTGTGTGTGTCCCCCCCCCCAGACGGGCCGTACCCCTACACGCTCAAGCTCTGCTTCTCCACGGCTCAGCACGCCTCGTAACGGGACCCCAAACCCCCCACACCCCCTTTTTTAG